GAGTTCAGGTGAAATTGTGATCAACCCGTTGATCACATCCAACACCGACAGAGCTAAGATGAAAACTCTGTAGGTTGATTTCTTCCACTTAAAAAAGTAAACGTACAGGACGATAGCTTTTTCAAAACATTCTGAAAAAAGCATCATAATTGAAAAAGTAAAACTCGGTAGATAGATTTTCCAAACTGCTCAATATTAATAATTCTATTTTTGTTTTCCTTTTCTAGTGTTGACGTCAAAGGCATAGATAGGCAAAAATAATGTGGATGCTTTCTGATTTTATAGAGACTGGAGTTGCATTACCCACCCATCCCCCTCCCGGTTAATAAATTTAAAAAAAAAAAACCTGAAAACCCGCAGAAATTGACGGTATTTTTTTTAATTTTAGATTTAATGTCAGAATATTATATTGCAGTGTGAAGATATCACAAAAAAGTTGTCTTTGAATAATGAAAGAAATAATTGAAATACATTCTTTTATCAAAGAATTCTGTACTAGTATTTATTCATTTATTATTTTTATTATTGTTTTTTTTTTCTTTTTTATTAATATTTTTAAATAAAGTGGTTACTTATAGGCATACAAGCATACATGGTAGCTACGCCATTGGTCGCAGAGGCTATTTCCATGCATTAGGCGAAACGGTTCAAAAGGCTTGTCATGTCCCTAAATCAATTAATTTGCATGTGGTAATGTTTATGTTACTCGCACTAAAATTCCTTGTTTTATGTTTTAAAGTCAGATTTTAACACACCAAAGATCTAAACTGTTAGACATGTTTTTATTTCCTCGAAGTTTATGTCTGAAGAAAGTGGTGTTCAGTTAAATTCTTATTTGAGCCGGATCTTTTGAGGAAATGTTATGTCATTTTGTAGCCTCATTTATTACACAGCCAGTTCTATGTTATTGTAAAAATCTAAACATCCTGAAATCTTATGAAAAAAAAAAAAACAAACATGAAAACAAAGATAGCTGTTATCTACATGTTGATATACTATGTCTTTTTCCTGACTCTCCTCCCCACAGTGTTAATTGTAAAGTCTGCTATCACAGGGAAATATAAATTTTATCCGACGGTTTCGATTTTAGAAGATATACCAGAGCTATTATAAGTCAAGTCTTTCCGCTTTTCCACCATACAACCTCTTTCCTTGAAATAAAGTATTCAAGGTATAACTTTTTTTTGGTTCTAGTTTTATAATGTGATTCGGTTCACAAGACCAGGTTCTGAGTGCGATCAATAATTAAGCAGTGGCAGGCTACTGACAAATAAGATAACGTTATTGAGTTGATAAGAGTAAATACAAGCTTATAAAAATGCCAACAAAATTATCCCTCCTGAAAATATGATATTCTTGTCTTCCGAAATGAACCCTATTTGGGTTTTCGCTCGAGAGAGAAAGAGAGATTTCTAGTCAGTTTATCTATTTTCATGCCAGTCAAGAACAGATTATTTATTTTCAGGCCAGTTAAGGAGGATCGGTCATAGCAGTTTGAACGGCGTGCGAAAATACCAGCGTATATATGACGACAAAATGACCTGTACAAAAAGGTGAAAATGAATAAAAATTCTTTTTTGTGCATTCCAGAAATTTGTTTAAAAAATGTGGATGTTAAATGTACAGTGGCGCCTCGTTAATCCGGACACCTCCGTCCCCAACGGATAAATGAATCGTCCGGATAAGTGAATCACTTCTTAAAAGATGTACCCTCTCAAAGCATGTACATATGAACATAGTGGTATCAAATGTGAAGGCAAGAAAACACCTTTATTTTACCTTGACTCATTGATTTTATTTCTATAGTTTTAAAAGAAATAATTAATATTTAAAAAAAAAATAATAACATGTAATTTACACGATGAAAAATGGATAGGCTGTTTTATGTTGAGACTTCCTTTTCTTACACAAGAAACTTTACTCGCCTTCTATTTGACGTGTAGTTACATGGGCTGACCAAATTTTGAACTACTACTGTTTTATTTCGGCACATTTTTTTTATTTATTCAAGCTCATATTAAGTATAACTGTTCATTATCACCATTGAGAATGTTCAAATGACTAACCGCGTATATTCACTACATAGGGAAGTAAGTAACTAAACACTGTAATCAGTGTACGTATTGCAAATATTCAACGTAAACACAAGCCATATTCAGGATTATCAATACTTTTTCTATAAACTCTAAGTTACATACCTAGAGAAAACGTGATCGGCATTTATAACTAACGCCAGTTACGTATTTCTTAGTGCATTAAATAGAAATATATTTTCTTGAATAATGTATCCTAATAAATTGTCTTATGAAAAGAAAAAAAAAAGTTTCAAATAATGTACGTTTTGAGAATTGGAAAATCGTATTTTGATAAACTTACGCAACTCAATACCACAACGAAATCTCGTGATTTATTATTCAGTAAAAAAAAAATTATTTACAACTCTCCAAAATTCTCATAAATTTATAAATCGTTAGCAATTTATTCTATTCTGAACGGATTTATATTTAATCAATGCACAGTATAAGCTAAATTCTTCGGGCTTTATGATAAAAAAGACGTGTGTTTTATCTGAGGTAAACACATGCTAATTATAGACGCTATTGTTTAGAGGTCACAGGTAACAGCCTTCAAACTGACTCCACGGACAATGTTTTTACAATAATTATCACCACTGCAAGAAAGGTGTGAAAAGTCGTTCCTCGAAAAATTACCGTTCGGATAAACGAGTCATTTTTCAATGAAATATTACGCTTTGTAGTAGAAATTGACCGTCCGGATCCGGAACGCGAATTTCCGGATTAATGAGACAGAATAACGTGGAAAAATCGGTTCCCAGAAAATATCGTCCGGAAGGTGAAGCGTCCGGATTATTGGCGTCCGGATTACCGCGGCAATTCCGTCAATAGCCCCTGTATATGTGAAATGTAATTTGCTGAGTCCGACCAAAATTTCTCAGCTATATTTGAAAAGTGGTCTAATAAGTGAAATTTCAATTTTAATTTTGGAAGGTAATTTGAAAAATATTTTAAAAGTGTTAACATAGGGACAATGGAAGTATCATAGATTAATGCACATGTTAAATATGAAGGCCCTTCCTCTCCATCTTCAAAGGTTAGAGATATTGAAAAGTAACTCAAACTTTAAGGTCCTGAAGGGCAAAATTAATAGTGCATTCCGAAAGGTCTTGTCACAGGTATTGCATATGTGAAATATGAAAGCCCCATCTTTTACTCAAAAGTTATAAACAAATTAGTTTTTGTTATAGATAGAGTGACAGACAAACGAATGAGATTTAATGTACCCACGCTTTTGCGAAAGCAGAAAACAAAAATGATAATTTCCCTTCGCCACAATAATCTTACATAGTAGTTACCGGGCATTTTTATTTTAATAAATACAACACACCCACAACAATTTAAGCAAACAGTATCTTGATCATTCAGGAATCTATGGCATGCAGATTCGGGTAATATTGCAAAATCATTGAAATTGTGAAAAATAAACTTCAAGCTCCCTTATATGGTGTCCGGATAGGGCCATTTGCAAAAGCTCAACAGCGCGTTCAGAAAAACAAGCCATCGCGCTAACACAATTATACAAAACACGTTATCGCGCTTATACACAACACGCCGTCGCGCTAACACGCTTTCGAACAACACGCTGTTGCGCTAACACAACTTTACACAACACATCGTCGCTGTCACACAACACGCCGTCGCGCTAACGCAACTTTACACAACACGCTGTCGCGCTGTCACACAACTCGCTAACACAACTTTGTGATAGCAAGACGGCGTGTTGTGTGTTAGCGCGACGGAGTGTTGTGCGAACTTGTGATAGCGTGACGGCGTGTTGTTCATTGATATGTTAGCACGATGGCGTGTTGTGTGTTAGCTTGACGGCGTGTTTTTCCGAACGCGCTGTTGAGTTTTTGCAAATAGCCCTATCCGGACACCATACATTTCCATTCAAGTAATCTATTGTTGAAATATAAATTCATATTTTAATTTTGTTTAGGTATTACTTTAAAAATAAAGCACATATCTAACAATTAATTTTTTATGGATTATTTCAATATTGGATAAATTATGAGTTTTATAGTGAGGGGAAAGGGGAGGTAACTCATCATGTCATTACTCTATTATTTCTCCTAACGTCATATAAATATTTTCATTAATCATTTATTAGTAATTGTTTTGTACTTCTGATTTATTTCTTCAATTGTTTTTTTTTTCTAATTTACTTTACAATTTTTTTTAATAGCACTTCAATCATTATTCTTATTTTCATGACGGGAAAACAAAGGGGAGGGAGGGGGTTAGTTGTGGACCATTTGGTACCTTTATTAGCCCTCAATGTGACCAAGATTTTTTGAGTGAAGAATGTTATTGGACAAATCTTTCATATAATGATAAAAACTAAAAATTCTATTGGACAGAATTTTTTTTTAGAATTTAAAAAGTGTCAAATTTGTGTGCATGAAAATAGTCAAATTTGTTAATTTAAAATGTTTTATAAGCACTATTCTCTTAATTTATCTCTGCTCAGACAATCCATTGTTAAAATAAGTTTACAATATCAAAATTGTTTAAAAATAATTTTAAATATTGAATGCATATTGCATAATAAATTTTTTATGGGTAATTTATATGTTGTATTATGATTTTTGGAGTGACTGGAAAGGGGAGGTAACTCATCACCCCCTGGTTCCGTAATTTACCCTCAATGCCATGTTCATATTTCCACTAAATGTTCATTACACATTCCTTTGCACCATGTGAAAATTTCAGCAAAATCTATTGGGAGTTTTTTTTTGGGGTCAGGTGTCCTTAGCTACCTTAAAGGTCAGGGATAAGCAACAAATTTGTTTCTTTCTTTGTAGTATTATGTATGTGTAATCAATCAACATCTTTGAAATGAAGAATCGATTTATTTCTAAACGAAATAGTGCGTGCAATCTTATATTTTTGTGTACATTAGCATCATATAATGTCTTTAAGTCAACATTTCACGGGAAATTTCCATAATGTTCTCAAAACATTTCCACATTCCGTTCTGAATTGTTCACTTAGACAGCTGTACAACACAGGGTTTGCAGACATGCTCAGAAAATAGAATCGCACAAAGAATTGATAAATAGCTTTTCCTTCAAAGGAGAGGTTGGTGTAATAGTAAGGCTGTACAGTGCGAATGATGACTACGGCATAAAATGTTGAAGAAGTCAAAATGAAAATTACTGTGACTAAAAAGAGCATCAAAGTAACTCTCTGGGAACGTGCACGTTGATTCTTTTCGTTTTGTGAGGAAAAACGATTCTTTGATTGGATTGTGGTACAGTTGTTGGAAGTATCACTGTTGTCATGAGCAGTAGTGCTTGCCACGTCAATCGGAGCGGTCGTTTCTTCTGGAATACATTCGTTGATCTCCAAAGCCGATGATCTTCTTACAGATTTTAGTGAGTTAATCTGAACCTTGCTCTCGACTGAACGTTCCCCTTGTTCCACATTGGTCTCATTTTTCCCAGATGTCTTGCAAACGTAAACAAATCTTTTCCGAATATTTACAGCAATGAGACTGTATATGATGATAAGAATGCAAAAAGTTAAGGGAGTACCTATGCACACGATGATCATAAAGATCTTTCTTAAGGCAGAACTAGTCAAAGAGTCTTTGATATCTACTATTTTACAAGTATTACCAAGAGCAATCGTTCGTGGAGCGACTGGCATGACATTCGACTGTATTCCGTAGATAAATAATACGGGACATGCAAATACCAAGGCCATGATTATCACGACAATGGTAATTATTTTTGCTTTCTTTATAGACATCTGTTTTTGTAGAGGTCTGCAAATTCTACAGTATCGGTCCCCTGCAATATTGATTAGAGTAAAGGCAGAGGAAAAATTCAAGGTATACGTGCAAAATCAGACCATCTTGCATAGAACTTCATTTGTAGCCTGAAACCAATTTTGTATTGAGTAGAGTTCAGACGGAATTGTGATCAATACGTTGATCAAATCGAACACCGCAAGAGCTAAAATGAAAACTCTGTAAGTTGTTTTCTTACATTTTGAGTAATGAACGTAGATGACAGCAGTATTTCCTAAACATCCTGAAAGAAGCATCATTATTGAAAAAATAAAACTCGGTAGATAGACTTTTCCAAACTCCTCATCAATGATATGACTAACTTTGTTCTCCTCTTTCATTATTGTCACAGAGTTTTGATCCATGTTTTGGGTGAAATGGCTCAAAACACCTGTCAAGTTCCTGAAATCCATTGTACTCGAGAATTTTTTTATGAACGATCGCACTTGCGCTTAGGTTCCTTGCTTTGAAAGTCCTTCAAAAGATTCAGACGTCTTTTTATTCTTTTTTCACAGCAGAAGGTGGTGTTCAGTTCATACTTAAAGATCTCTTGAGGAAGTGCTATGTCATTATATATATCCTCAGTTATGATACACTAGGTTCTTTTTTTCATTTAAAAATCGAATTAAAGGGACATTGTCGATATCACTACGATTTCTATATTAGAAAACGCAGCATTGTATGTCAAGCCCATCCCTTCTTATGTACAGTACAGCTATTAGTGAATGAAGAACTTTCTTTTTGGGTTACTTTTAATAATTAATTTGGAGTGTTCTTAAAACTATATCAAACTGATTTATAATTACGGTTTAAATAAAGATAACGATGCTACAGAAGCGCTATCATGCTCATTATCCCAAATGCGATTTGCAAAAATAACAGAATAAAAGCTATATCACAAGTTTTCTGACAATTTTGTTAGCTTCATGTTTGGTCGTTATAATGACCTTGATAGCAAATATATCTATGATGGGGTCGTATTTTGACCGACATATTTCATATTAATTGTTAGGCCTTTGTTTTTATACTTAATTTGACTACAGAATATTCCGTCTACCTAATCAATAAATAAAAACTCAAACCGGGTGGGAACGGTCTACCGGGGATACTTACTCCTCCTACACACCTGATCCCACCTCTGGAATTTCTGGGGGTCTGTGTTTTCATATAAACTAGGTGCGTGGTAGTGATGAGTAAAGACGCCTCTTCCTAAATTGTGAAATTTGTGGTTGCAGGTCAAGGGTTCCGGTGTGGGGAGGAGGAGGCTTTAATTTAATAAATTCACATCTAAATTCATAGAGTGAAAATGAATTATTTCCTTGAAAATATTCTTCTCTGTTCCTGGATAAATACCAAGGAAAATAATGCGAGTTGTGCAAACTTAAGGTGTCACTTTCAAAATTGTGAATTCCATAGCCTCTGGGTCAGGGGTTTCAGTGTAAATGAGAGGGGGGAGGGGTCTTTTGATTATATTGTATAAATACATCAATTCACCTTCTCCTCAGAAAGAGGCATTCCACCGATTTCTTCAAAAAATGATTGATTGGCTGATTGATTCACCATACACCGGTGAAGAGCTTCAAGTTTAAACCTAAACTCAGAATCCATGGAAATGAGCAGTAAGGGCTCTTTATCGTGCCAACGCCTACCGTGACACGGGACCTCGTTTTATAAGGTATCACCGAAAGAATTATAATTTCTCGCGTTACGATAGTATAGCGAGAAATAGTTGTCCTAACGACATGTAAACAAATTGTATGTACCGAAACGGAAGTCTCGTTTATGTATTAGTAGCATTTGTATACTGGGTAACAGCCAATGAAATTAGATTTTGGAAAAGACGTGTTTGAATAGTTTTCTTATAGTGTTAGAGTTCAGTTTCTAGCGCACGTTCTGCCCGAGCAGGTCTAATTTTAGCATTTTGAATTTTTTTTTCTTTTTTAAAATTTACATAATTGATTAATTATACATGGGTTTGTAAGAATGAGTCCGCCATTCATTTTGTTTACCTCGCAATTGCTGCGGACTTACAGGTTTCCATAGTTTTTTACACACAAATTTGTGAATTTTATCTATGGTTTTTCCTGGGCGGCGAGGGAAGCATAGTTGGGTTTACATTTTACTATGATAGTACTGCTCTGTTTGCTGTGACAAATAAATCCTAGCGTCCTCTTACAATGCGCTACAATGCATATACTGTTGTTGGTGTTTTGTGTTTAGTGAAGTGCAGTGTGGACCCCTGATTTCTAGTGCAGGGCGCTTGGCGAAGGAACAGTTTAAATACTACATGTAACAATGTTGACGTCTTACTTTTGACGCGGAACCGCGAACGAGAATCGAACCCGGACCTCCCTATCAAGAAGGTGTCCTCTACATAGCCAATCAAATTAGTTGTCAAAATAATCACCAGATAAACACACGCCGTGTTCGGTCAATGCGGGTGTTGTGATTATTCAACAATAGGGTTAGGTATCGGTTGGGAATTATTGCGCTATACTGCAATATTTTTAATGCATTGCAATTTGTATTGTAATATTTTTAAAAACAGTTAAAATGATCAGTCTTTACTTGTTTTATTAACATCCATTTATAAGCAGAACGTATAATACTATTATAAATATGTTGTAACAAAAACGTTCTTGTTGACAGTTTTGCAAATAAATGCAACGATACAACAGCAACCTTACTGTTTGGCACGATTGAAAACGTTTCTGACATCGTAAATTTCAAAACTTTTTAAGAAAACAAAAGTCCAAGCATTTTGGCGGTAAATCGGTCTTTAAAAAAGTATCACAATACGACATTTTTGTGTCGCTTGCAGAGCAGAGCGGCACTTGGGGATCACTTTACCCGGCATTTGTCTGTCTATCCGTCTATCACACCCTACATCTCGAGAACTATAAGAGGTATGGATTTGATATTTTGCACACATATATTGCTTGGCACTATGGCTTTTGTAAATTAATGGTTACTGACCACGTGATCTTTGACCTTGACCATTGACCTTCTTTTCAGAAATAGTTCATAGTGCCGATATACAGGATATTTTGGAAGAGGTAAGTCTATGGTATTTAGCATGTGCACTGTTTGTCATAAGATATTATGAAAAATACCAGCATTACAATCCATTTGACCTTAACCTTTGACCTACTTTGCACAAAATTTCGGGGGAAATTTAATTAACTTATGACTTTTGAATTTCAAGAGGCAGGATTTTGATAATTAGCATTTATACATGATTATGAGATCATGCCACTGTATGTTGAAACTATGATATTCAGTTACCACACAAACTACCAGGGGTATGTGTAAATAATATGAAAATACTTTGGGATTAGTATTTCATATGATCAAGTATATTGACAATTGCAGTAAAAACAGACTGAAATCTCTTTTGGAGGATTGTTGGAAGCACGTTGAGCTCATGATACAGTACTTTGAAACTGCATCATATTCACTTACCATATAAACTTATATTTAAATTCTATGAAAAAACATCGGGATTGGTATTCCACAATGGATCATATAGACTGACAATTGCACTAAAGACAGACTAAAATCTCTTATGGAGGATTATTGGAAAAACATATTAATAAATGATAAATACTAGTAGTAATTTCTAGTAATTTCAATTTAATTATTCATTTGAGGGTTAAGGAACAATATTTTCTTTGATTGTCAGATTATTTTGCAGTTTTATACTATCCATGGATGCCATTTTTTCTTTGCAGGCAAATGCATGAACTATCATGCTAATAGTAAAAAGGCTGACCACTCGTAGATTTATTTACATCTCTAAGGAAACTACAAACCAGGCGACACCTGTGTTCCTGGGAACACTCCAGTTTGTCTACGAATTGCAATATATTGGTATGATTGCGCAGTCCTATTCAACAAATGGTCGCAGTGTAACGTAGAATATTGAACCGGGTTAAGTATTGATCTGGGGTTCATTTTTAATGTTTTTCAACGTTTCTGTTTGAACGTATACCAGGGTAATTTTTCAACAGCTTTGATATTTTTTTCTAATTGCTGATGACCCTAACACATTGAAAATTGACCCTGTTGAATACTCCAACAATAAAGTTTTGAAATGTACATGTCTTTGAACTTTTTTGACACGATTTATCAATATCTATTTATTAATTTTTCAGCTACAAACTTCTCTCTTTTTTCAGAATAATGAAAATAGGCCTCATATCATTCCAAATATATGTACGTTGCCGATCAGTACACGATTTTGCTTCTTTGAGGCCATGGTTGTCCATGATCTTACTTATCATTTCGCTTTCTTAAAATCACAGTATTTCTATATTAATTTTTCACATAAATTGCATGTAAGTTAAACTGTCATTTCATGATTTTAAACATATTATAAGAAAATTTTGATATATCTATTTATTGTTCCTAAGTAACGTTTATATTTATCCTTTTACTGTGTAACGCTTAATGGTATTTCTAGAATTATATTTAGGGTTTTTTAAATTATCATAAAAAAGAAATCGTTATTTAATATATAAAGATCCGCTTCAATAATGATGTTCTACGGGACCTCGTAATCATCAACTTCTTCCTATGCCTATTGTGATTTACAGCTTAGGAACTGTAAACCTTAGAAAGTTTTGTGTGGATTAAGCTTTCCTAAAATATATGGCGGCAGATCTTTGCAACAATTTAATGTTCATTTCGACTTGTCAGATGTTTTACGTAATCTTTTCCAGCATTTCAGATTTTTATATCAACTTTTTCGATTACAATCATCGTGACCAAGAATTCGGTATCCTGTTATTAAATTGTGTAAATGCCACCAAGAGGACGTTGATTCTGAATGGGGTAGGGCAGGTGGGAATTTTTTCCGAGTTCGATTATTAAAAATTATTTCCATTACCGTGCCCGCTTAGGATAGAATACTACTTCCAACGTGGCCAAGGGCATAATATTTAGCTTCTTTACTGGAAAGGTTTGCAAAAAAGGACAAAACACAACACAACCACAAATACACAAAACAAAACAACAAAAAGAAACAAAAACATAGAGGAAATTAGGGGGTTGGGGGTAAGCTGAAGGACTAGACGAATACCTTCATATGCATAAACTTAAAAGGTAACAACGGATCTGAGTAACCTAGTAGGGTACAATTTCATATACTTAAAGTTCCCCCTCCCACGCTCGATCCTCTTCTGAACAAAATAAGTAAAAGGCAGGTGTCACAAGAAAAGGGTGCTTTAGTATGGAGGATAATCGTGTTCAAATATCCAGACTTATAAGATTGTAAATCCGAACTTGCAATCGTATCAGGTTCATAGTCTAGATATGTAAGTAGGTAATTCCGACATTTTAGCATGTAGTTCCGAACATACAACTTCAGAATTTACTGTAATTTTGTCCGCTTGATATCATACTTGTACATTTCGTTTACTTATAGTAAACAAGACATTAAACTTGCATGTGTTGTAAGTTAACCTATCATCCCTCTAGGTGTTTTCTGCTATCTATATTCCCAAGCTCTGAAAAAAAGACAATTCACAAGTCTACAAATGTAAAGACTAGACGTTTATCAGATTTTGATAATGAGAAAGTATAGAGGAGTACCAGAACCACAATTTTTTAAATGGTTTATTTCTAGCTGTTTTCTAACTTCTTGTTTTTTATCCAAATTTATATCAATAAATTTATTTTATTCCTTATTTTAATTCTCACTTCTTCTTTAAATATTCCAATTTAATATTTTCCTCTAGATTTTATTTTGACAGTTTTCTTACTTTCATATTTTGACCAAACAATGACCTCTAAAACATCAGAGATGGGATTAGGTGCCATGGAGGAGTGAGCATCCCCTTCCGACTGGACACATCCACCGTGTGCTCCTTTTCATGACCGGGAAATAACAGGAAAATCCATCGACAATTCAGTGTGTAAATAATGGCCTAACAATTAGTATGAAAAACGTCATTAAGCATATGACTTAATGATAGATTGTATTTGCTGACTAGGTCATTGTATCGATCTGAGAACTTACATGTACGAAATGATGACTGTAAACGAGACTGTTGATATTCTTGTTTCATCAACTTGTTTATCAATAATTTACCTCGTTTTAGAAATTGTTCATACATAGAGCATGATCTTGTGTATCGAATCAACTGAGAGATATACACCCCATCTGCAGGTTATAGGGGTATATAAGGGTGTATAAGTGAGGCAAGTTTAAAAGTTAAAGTCATCACGTTCATCACGAAGCTTTTTTGTTAGGTTACCATTAACTTCTTTTTCTAGTTAAATATCCAAGTATGGAATAGATGTGTCAGACTTTGTGGTATCTTTAATTTCAATTAAGCTCGCTGGGATATTGGGAGAGTTGAAGGCCACAACAAGTGTTTTCTTCTCATGTATGAGATTTTGAATATATTCGATACAAAAATAAGTCTGCTAATAACGGGGCGCAATTGGTACCCATGGGAAATCCAACAGATTGTTGGAAGACCTGGTCTCCATAAACCACATAGATATTAAATCTGAAACTCAAGCTTCTTTTTAATATTAACTTCAGAGTACTTGTGTAAAATCAGAATGTTTTTACCGACAAGGTAAGTCAATTTACGAGTTCTATTTTTATTGAAAAAGCATCTGTCAATGATGTCAAAAAGCCTGACTTTAATTTATCGTGGGGAATGGTTCCATATATTGTTGAAAAGTCGTACGTTTTATGTTATTGATTTTGGCAAAATTTTGTAAAGTTTTGTGATTTCAAATTTTCCAAAAGTTCCTTGGAATTTTTAAGTATCCACAATTGATTTACACCACTTCTCAAATATATTGTTGCACAGTAGTGAGGAGTAAAGAAAGAGGCTTGGTAGAACTTTTACTGGAACCCGCTAATCGTTAAATATCGTTAAATAAAATGACATTAAGAAAATGATATAAAAATGGAAAATTTAAACTAAAAGTCAGAGTTAAAATAAAAAATAAAAATAAATTTTTAAAATAAATTTTGAAAAACAATAAATTAGAAAAATAAACATTTAAAAAATTGTGGCACTGTTATCTCTCCATAATTTCTCATCATCAAAATTCGAAAAACTTACTTTACTTTCGTAGACTTGTGAATTGCGCAACTGTATAGATACTGGAAAACATTAGAGAACTGATTGGTAACTTGCAACACATTCAACTGAAATACTTTTATACGAGTAGACGAAATATACAAGTATTATATCAAAAGGGGCAAAATAAGAGTAAATTTTGAAGCACCTATACCGGAAATTTACATCAAAATTATAAAAAAAAAAGAAAAAAAAAAGAGTCAACTCAGTTGTATGTTTGACACTACTAGAACGATTTCAATCCCTTTCTTCCCCCCCCCCCCTTTCGCTCCCGATTTTCACCCCCTCCCATTCTCTCCCTCCAGTCCTCTCCCTCTCCACTCCCTCTCTCTCCTCCTCTCCCTCCACTCCTTCCCCTGTCTCTCTATCCCCACTCTGTCTGTCTGTCTGTCTGTCTGTCTCTCTCTCTATTTATTCCTTGTCTGTCTGACTCATTTGGGCTAGGGAAATAAACTATATATATGCATTATACATAGATGTTTCATAGTTTATTTACAATGAAAAATGATGGGAAAAATACTTATTCTATAACAAAGAGAAAATTCTTATCGTTATACCAAAAGAAATTATAAAATGTTTATTCTTGATCTTTTTACTTTAAAAATGGATGTAGCAGAATTGCTTATTTATGCAAAAAATCGATTTAATTTAAAATTATAAGGGCAATAACTTCACACAACAAAAGATACTGCTTCCCGTTCACAATTAGATCATTGCGTTGTTTGTTTGGTATTTAATGAAGAAGAATTTTATATGCTTATATATTTACTACCATGCAAGGAAGATGATATATCAGCTTGAAATACATGTACCCAGTTGGATATTATTGGTTGTACCGTTATGAAAAGTAGATGTGCGGCCACGTGCTGAGTTGAGGTCTATAAAATATTCTTTATTTGACCAAGTATGTAATTAGGGTTTGACATCCACTATTCTTTTCCCTTGTATGCATTCAGTTTACTTAAGTTATATATTTTTATAGTTTTTGTCCTGCTCAAACATCGTGTCTTTGCTTTGAATGTTAGCCAAAATGCATTTGCATCATGACTCCCTCGTTGTTCTAAGCATTACCCGGTATGTCAATTCTATTTTTTCATTGCAAATAGATGTTCGTTTGGTGCTTTATTCAAATGCGTACTATTAATAAACCTACATGCAACATTTACTTGTTGCATGGTTTTTCTCTACTATAACCATTGATTTCCACTTATTGTTTTAGAATAGATAGTGTTAAATGATTAACCGTTGGGCCATCAGTGTAATTTGAGTAAATGTTCACCTTATAACAAGCCTTAGCCCTGCTTCTGGGAAAATTAAAATCATTCAATTAAGCAGTAGAGCCATTTAAAAAGAAAGAGAGACATGCAAAATGTGTGCTTAAAAATTGTTAAAAGGTAGCCTCTGCCGCGCATAGCGCCCTCCTCAAGGCATGTAACATCACAGAGATAAAGTTTATAAATTGTAAAACATTTAAAATAAGCATTCAATTCTTAGTCTGAAGGAAGAATTTAAGTTATAAAAAGGACCGGGGTTGGAGGGGGAGCGAACATGTTAGAAATTCCGAATTCCTTGAGAAGCAAAAAAAAAAAAAATGTCCGCAGGCTTTATTTATATGACAGGAGCAACATGGAGAGCCAAACTGCAGTGCATGATTTGGAGACAAGCCAATCTTATTTACAATACACTATCAATCATGCGCCCAATGTTTAAAATAATAGAGCCATTCATATGTGTGGGTTTTTTTTTTCTTTTTTTGACAAATTTAATCTTCCCTATATTTTTATGAGAAGAAGTTCGAGACTTTATTCATAGAAAATCAAAGATATTTACGAGATCAAATTTTCTTATCCAACTTATATGAAACTTATAGGTATATGTCCAGTAGAGGCCCTGTTACAGCAAGAATTGGCCACATTTTATTTTTGATTGATTGTTTTTCAAGACTCCCCCTTCCCCCTCCAAAAATCTGTTAAAAAAACAAAATTAAAGAGTGCGTTTATGTAAGAATTTATAATTACCACCCCCCCCCCCCCCCCCCAATTGAATAAACAAAAATACCTTTTTCAACAATTCCCCAAACTAATTTATATAAATTAATTCTTCAATATTAAAAGTCATTAATTGTTTATAATCCAAATTATATTTACAGTATTGTCAAGTATTAGATGAAAAGCAGTAATTAGGATTTCTACATAGATTCCAAATTTACTAAGTGTTAAAAAATTGCACATCAGCTGTAAATGTATTTTGGTACTCAGAGTTTGACTTGTAACACATTTAATGTTCATTTAAAATGATAAATAGTGTCAATCAGCCTTGAAAAACAACTAATTTAAAAAAGTGGCCAAAAATGCTGGAAATCTTGGAGCCATTTTAAACAAATATTTCTTGGGGGAGGTACCCCAATCCCCACCCATGGGAGGGGGAAACCCTCTCTCATACCCTTTTTATGGTGATTAGGAATAGCTAAGAGAACAAAGAGAAGATTTTTGCAAAAACAAAACTTTTACTTCATAAGAAAATATAACTAAGAATACAGTATTGACATATGGAGGACTTTGAATGCCCAACCATATCAGCTTAATACTATAGTAAAACATCAAAATCTGAATGGTCCAAATATAAATTTTATAAATCCCTTAAACCTGAAATACTTGAAACAATAACCACCTTACAACACTGATGAAAATGATATGAAGTGGTTTCCATAAACAATATACCGATAAACAATGTCTGTTTTATTAATCCTTATAAAAAATAATTTGTTCAAATTCTGCTAAATGTATTATCATTCTTTGAACAATACACTGCGTAGACTCTTTATCAATTGTACATTTTCCCTTAGTCTGTTTTAAATCATGCCATAGACATGCACTCTGTCTACATTTCGTACTTTTTTTCAGATCTTTGTATATAATAAATACAAGCACCACATCAAAAAACAGTTAAGTGTGTATAATCAATGACTTGATTAATATCACAGAATCATCTAGGCCAGGGTTTATCTATCACTCAATGAACATGAGAAAATGCAACAAATCATGCATTTCAATCACTTCCACAAATGCCCAAAAAAATATCTCTCTCCTAAAAAAATATTTTCTCTTCTTCAGAGATAAACCCTAACTTTTTCATTTCTGTCCAGCTCAGGATTTTTGTAGTGGTGTGTTCGAATCGTACTTCTGGGTCTTCACTTATTTTTCTTTTCTTTTCCATAAGCACTGTCTAATCCCAGTCCAGTAAACACTAACACTGTCCCCATCCACTGTCTGCTGTTCATGGGGTTCTGGAAAATTATTACCGATGCCAAAATGGTGAAAAACTTTCGTGTAGTTGTGATGATGGAGCATGTTAATGGTCCATATGTTGATACAGTGATGAAAATAAATGTCTGAAAAGAAAAAAAAAACATTTCAAGTTTTCATAATAAATGATTCATGATTTTTTAAGGTAGTTCGGCACTGTTTAAGAAAATTTGAACACCCAGTGAACCACACAGCAAAATGTCCTCTATCATTGCTGCAAATTTAAATACTCTAGCTTAAGCCCTTTTTGAATTCTAGATCAAACAAAATGACCCTTGAAAAATCAAAAAGGGTGATAACTTCAGTTTGATGTTTTTCTGACCTAAGCACTGTAAGAAAATTAACTCTTGTTAAATTATAAACAGCTTAGGATATGTACCTGAGGATCTACATATGTTTGATCTCTTACAATGAATGAAGAATACCACAGAATGTTATGTTGCAGGGAAACATTCTAGCTTTCAAAATATAGATTCAACAGAAACATAATCCCGCCCCCCTCCACCCACCCAACACACACACACAAAATTAAAAAAAAATAAACAAGCATGCCTACTCATTCTAGAATTATGAGATTTGTGGAAAGAGAGATTAACCAGATAAGTTCATGGTCAAATTATCTGAGCAATTAATTCAGGTTTAAATCTCAGAATGACCATAGAAAATGTGTTGAGGTGATGAGTATGTGTATTAAGATCTGTGTAGAGTAAGGGTTTCAAGCCTTGAACCCAATTCAAGCTTACCTGACCAGCAGCACTAGCTAAACCAAATGTTATCATTTGTAGTAGTATAGATGGATGTCTCTCCATAAACCCTAGAAATGCCAAACCTTCTCCTGAGACAACTAATCCTGAAAAAGAAAAAAACATTACCCCTGTACTCTTGTGTCCTATTGAGTTCTCTTTGTTTAACAAACAATACTGAGATATTTTTTTTAAAAAGTCTGAAGGACTCAGGGTTAAGTACATGATCTGCATTTAAAAGCACATTTTTTACGTGATGTCTTCCTGGAAAAACCATACATATAAATATCAATACATGCACAGAATACTAGGACTTCTTATCTATGGCTAACCATACTATAGACCATACACATGTATTGATGTAAACTAGTCTTGCATATGGCTAACGAATAGACCACTATGGCTAACCATAATATAGACCATATATTGATATTAAACTATTTTTACCTATGGCTAACCAAAATATAGACCATATATTGATGTTAAACTAGTCTTACCTATAGCTAACCATAATATAGACCATATATTGATGTTAAACTAGTCTTATATATGGCCAACCATAATATAGACCTTATATTGATGTAAAACTAGTCTTGCCTATGGCTAACAGTAATTTAGACAATATTGATATCAACTATAGTTTTACATATCGCTAACCATAATACAGACCACTATGGCTAACCATAATATATTAAACCATATATTGATGTTAAACTACACTGTAGTCTTACCTATAGCTAACCATAATATAGACCATATATTGATGTTAAACATCATACTGAAGGCTCCTGTCTTATGTTCAGATCTCATTCTCTCCTGTATTGCTCCTGTTACACCATCTAGTGACAGGGACACCAACTAGGTGGAAATAATCAAAATTAATATAGACATACAAATGTATGCACAGGGAAATAATGTATAAGGTTAAAAATAACATCATTGCTTTATTTTTAAATTAACAACTTTCTTTATAATCTCATATAAGATAAACTTTCTGTAAATCGCTGCATTGAGAATTTTAACAATAAAAATTAAATTCTGAAGAATTCATGTGATTTAGCAGCATTTCATCAATATAAATTTCAAATTCACCAGTAAAAGCTCTCCCACACCAACTATGCTGTCATGTTCAGATTTTTTGGTCTTTCCAGAGTCTTTGTACAAGAACATGGCCACTCCCAGGACTATCATTAAAACAAACAAGAACTTGGCTGCAGGGTATCTCTTCCTCGCAAACAGAATCCCTAGGATCAACACTGGGATAGGCTTTGCTGACTTTCCCAAAACCTAAATATAGTTTCAAATTTTGAAGTTGAAAGTCAATTCTTTAAGGATTGACAATTTAATATATGTAATTACTTCCATTTTTAATCAAGCACTTGCCATTTTTTCATTACCTGAGTTGGGTACGAGACATGCTGCAGTGCGTGGTTACTGGCTAACATAGCTCCTAGATAGGACATGGAACAAAATGAAAACATTCTGCCAGGAGTAGTGTCCCTTTCCTTCTGCCAAAACATGGCTGCAAAGCAATAATAAAACACACTGGATTTGGTAGTATACAATGTACATACTCAAGTACAGTAACTGTGATTGTTAACCCAAAAAAATTCTAATATCATTTTTTACTGTGGATCTTAAGTACAATGACAGAGAGCATTTATTAAAAGTGCAAAAATTCTTCTAATGTATATAGTGATATCAATATTTTTTATCCTGAAGATTGATATAGCACAATCATTTCGAAATTAAGCTATTAAGTTGCATGTCTTAAGAAAAGGAAGCATGAGTAATTTACTCTAATACATGTAGTTACCATATGGGACATGGTGGAAATAAAATTAACTGATTGTAAAACAAAGTTATATTAATATTTATAATGTTCATATCATCAGAGAAAACTGTCAAAACGTATCTTTTAAACATCTTTGTGTCAATGTTTGAAAATTGGGTTTGTTGCAATGTGTTTACATGTACCAAATACTTTTAAATATTTACGTTTTTTTCTCTTTTTTTTTTTAATCAAAACTGTGTCCATGTCCCTATAAAAAAATAATTATAAGCAAAGGTATAAAGGTAGCTACATAGAATGAGATTCCATACCAATTTTTGCTGCAATGGCATTGATGATACATTGCACAAATACAAGGGCAAGTGTGTATTTAAATTTCTCTGTCTTTTCTCCTTCTCCATATTTTCCTTTTGTTCTAGAAAAAAAAAATCAAAATGATGCCATAATATACTGCAAATGTACAGTGTTCATGATAAAATAACAAGGAATATTATAAAAATTACAGTCTTTGTACATATAAATCATTTTGTTTGGGAGAAATAGAAGAAAAAGGTGGTTAACTCATGTAGTAAATTTTGAAGAATGACTATAGTCAAATGTAAATGAATGTGGCAGAAGAACCAATAATTTTAACCCTCAGTGGTCAATATAGGGCCATGCAATTAAACCAATTATTTGACATGTAATGTTAAGTCTCCATAAGCCATCTGACCAGCCAAATAAAATAATGTACATTTATAGACCTGCTAATACACTTGTATAGACTTTTCACGGTAACTGCGGTACATTTGTATTGCTCTTTTGCAGGGCAAAATGATATAGTTTGGTGAAATATGGCGTAAAAGTAATTGTTAAATATACGTCATTTGATTATCTGCCAACAAAAACTTCGCCAAACGTTATTATTTTGCCCTGCAAAAGAGTAATACCGCAGTTACCGTGAAGGGGCTAATTGGTTCAGAATGCAGATGAATATTAAATTCTGCATGCAAAATCCATGGAAGTTGAAAATGCATCAGATAGCTGTGTATGTATTTCAATTGGGCTAACTGACAAGAAATCTATTTAAAAATGCCATATCATTAAAATAATATTTTGAATGATAACCAGTCCAATTTGTTTTTCTTTGTTGCAAACATATGGGAAATATTTCAACTGACAGTGATGTTATCGTAACCAAATTTAAGAAATACATGTACATGCATCTGGTATCTGTTGTCACTATGCACTTCAGAGCAATTGATGGCCACACTGGATTAGCACTTAAAATACTTCATGGCCTCAGTAAAAATGTAACCAAATCTAAAGTGAAAGTTCAACCCCCCTTTTTTCAACACGTGCCCCTGTCTTTGTTGTACAGCTCTTCTGTTAACCATATCAACAATCTTTCTCCAAAACTAGTTAACATATTTAAGGATAGTTGAATCTTTTAGTATATTATTTATGTTTTGAATTATCTTCTTAAGAAAAGTATGCAATATGTGTTAATTTTTGCACTCACATTGACTCCTGAACAATTCCATAATAAAAATAACAGAGGAACGTTCCAGCTGCACACACAAGTAGTTTATTCCGACTTCCCGTTGTCATGTCCACGTGTTTTGTCTTATCAGGTATAGTGACTACGTGTGTCGGACCTGAAATCGTAGAATCACCTGTCATACACTGTCTATCACTTTACTCGTTATAAATTTGTTTTCATGACGTGTCGAATTCTCGAAACACCACTTGGAAAGCATTACTTCCGGTATAGGTTTGGGTAAAAGTAGTTCAATTTCTAGGATATTTAACGTGACTATCAATTATCAGTGAAAATACGTGATTTTAATTTATAAAACATCTATGATTTTATTTCAGTATATGGTAAAAAATAAAATTTTTACAATAATATATCAAAAAATTAAGCAATAACCAATTAAAGGTGCGAGAGGTACGCTACAGGATTTTTCGAGGTTTATCCTATTCTTACAACCTTAACCTTATTTGATTGGATAATAAAATTAGATCGAAGGTGTTTTCCTTTGATTCTCTTCGTGTACTAACCTTCATCACTGACCGCATGGACTTTTCCGTTTTCTTGTTGCTTTTCGTTTTCCATTACGGGAACGTTTGTTTCTACCAAGCACATGCAGCATTAAATCGAGAATTTTATTATTATTATTTTTTTGGTTATAAAAACAGCTGCAGATGTATTTTTAAAGTCCAATCTAATTTCAAAAGATTGATTAACGAACCTTTCATTTATGCAGGTTCAATTCACACGAACAATAACAATGATTCCATTTCACAATATACAAACTCTGGTTAAGGAAAACCCAAGGAGTTGAAAAACGACACGTGTCAAGTCACGGCCGGTTAATTAATTCAATTTGTAATGTAGAGGCAAAAAATGATCATCTTGACCAGCTGCTGTATAAATTATGGAGATTTACAACCTTCAAGTATGTCGCCACAAAATCACATCAAAAGCATTGATTGTTAAGTATTCACGAACACAGAAACTCAACGAGACTTAATTATTGACGCCTATACAGATATAGCGTACAGGTAACAGGAAATTCATACTACCTTCATCTGTCAGAAGTTGTCTTGCTAATTAGTTCGTGATATATATGCTTTTGAGCGGATCTGTATATCTATTTTTTTTTTAAAATACTAGTATAATAGTATTGCTTGGTTCTTTATGAAATAAAAAAAATAAATAATGTAGGTTGTATTGGTGAATTTAGGTGGGAAAATAATTAATCTAAAATAAAATTTGTTGAAAAAAAGAGAAAGGATAAATTATACAATTAAATTCATAGTTTGCAGTATGACATATTTAATGCTAATTAACCGAGACAAACCTTCTTCTTCGTCTTAATGCCTTGACATTTGTGTTAAACTTTATTATAATAAATAATCTTGCTTGTTCACTGTATAACACGTGTAATATAACAATTGCTTTAACTATAACTGTCCAACCTACAAAGAAAAAAAAACCGTACCAAATATCTATTTTGTATCATAATTGCTTTTATTAACAAGTGGTAACATTACTACGACATTGTTTATCGTCAAATTATGGGAAAATCGAATTTAAGGACTGAAGACATATCCCTCGAATATCTTATTTTTTGTATCTCTTGTTAACATACCAAAAATATTGATCCTCATTATTAATTTTTGATTTCTTAACTGCTTTCATAATGTCTTAAAAATATAAACACCAAAAATTGTAATATCAGCGATTCAAGTGATATCCAATACATGTAGGATTTCAAAGGAAACACCATCCACTGGTATCTTGCACAAATGCCTGGTAATGTACCTCAATTTTTTGGTGGGGAAACTTGTTAAAGTAGCAATACTTCAATCTTGATTGGGAAAATCATATATCATTGAGGAACGTACGTGTCGTCTGACGTACTTTAATACATGAATAATATTTCCTAGTAAAACTTGTTTCCAAGTTTGTGTAGACATTTATGTAACTGACAGAGTACTGAGTATATCAAATCCTATACATGTACAATTAAAGTTCGTATCTCGAACATCAATATCACAAATTATAAATTTCGAATTCAGATGGTAGTCCCAATCATTTTTTTAATGTATTCTAACTTCAATATCTCGAATCCCCGGATACCTCTCTCAATATTTCTTGGTCCCAACAAGTTTGAGATAACGAAGTTCTATATCGAAACCTTTTTCTTGACTAGAGACATACATTATAGTATATGGTAATATAGTTTACAAAATCTCCACTTCAAAAGTTAAGTTTTTTTAACACTTTATACCTCATCCCGCATGGGCAGAGAAGCTTAGTCAAAAAAATTTTAAATTAGTACAAATTTCTATATCCATCCGCTACATGATGATCAGAGTATAGAGCATGATGATCAGAGTATAGAGAGGAATCAATGAAGGATTTAGACAAAAAACCCTAGGTGTTGGGGGACGAGGGGTCCGGGCCATTCCCACTCCAAGCAAAAAAAAATCTTACTCAAAAACATTCATGAAAAATATGTCCAAGTGCGAAAACCACATTGAGTGGTGAAGGGTGTTGGATGGACACTTCTTACGTTTTCCATCATATATATATGATACTCTTCTGGTAACCTAACTATGTAGATTTAATAGCTTTGAAAATGCTAGGAATGGTCCTCCCAGATCCTATCCTCCACATAACGCCCCCACCCCTCCCCAGTTGTATCCGTTCCTTGGAATACTCTATTATAAATTCCAGTTTCATTGCGTTTACTTTAGTACATTTATACAAGTAATCTTCCGTAGAATATATAACCTGAATCCAATAAGTACTGAACATATAATCAGGTATGGCGATAGTATTTTCAGACCATATATGATATGGCATTTTCATTTGATCATACATTGTATCAGTTAGAATCATGTTATTCAGTGCAGACATAATTAAAACAAAACATTATATTGAAAATTTGTGACTTAGTATTGGATATTTTTTCTCTATACTTTTTTATGCATTAATTAAATCTCATCACCATTTTACAATAGTATATAGAGGTTACAAGAACATGTAGATCATTAATACAAAGTAATTTAGATAAATAAGGCATGTGTGAACAATAAAATACAAAAACAGTGCGTTACTATAAATGTGAAAAGAATGGGAATTCTATACCGCGGAGAAAATTTCATTTATTTTCTTTATAAATGAACATAATTTTCTCAGAAAGCAGTGCTAAATACTATTCATAATGTTTTAAAACTATAACTATATTCTTTAATTTTATTTGTTTATCTGTTAAACACAACTTTCTGTCTTTTTGTAGTGAACTGCACTTTAGTAATTCATCACGGATTTCTCTTAAATTGAAATGGGGACAAATTCTGAAAAATTATAAACAGATGTGTAGAGGATAAGCAAAAATAATGATTGATGTGTTTTTTAGTTGATTGGAATTAATTTGAAATTAATGTTTGGGGCAAAGCATTCAAAATTCAGGGAATCCAGCAGTAAACATTTCGGGGAGGGGGGATTCAAATATTACATTGTGTATAATTATCTGTACAAATGTAAGTATGAATTAATATTTTTATATATATATGAAAATTATTTAAGAATGCAATATTTTTTAATTATAAACGGGTTTTTTTTTTTTGCAGGAGGTAGGGCCGCTCTTAAATCAGCCGTAGAAATAAATTGTGTACATTGTAATAGAGATTCTGTTACATTACACACTGGAATGCATGTATTGCTTTAAAAACCGACTGAAAACGTGTTTTTTCCACAATTGCTCTCCCACAAAGAGATCACACACAAACTTCTACCCTGAGTTTTGAAATCTCGTCATCTTACGTGAGAAAAAGATTTCAATCTTCGTTTTTGTTTCCCAAGAGTCCGTGTGATATTCCTTTTCTCCTTCATTCTATACCAGGCGGGTCTTTCATGTTTCTTTCAGAATAGAAACTGAATCTTACGCATCTGTTTTTGTCATAATGAGATGTTTATAAATGTTTTCCTCCATTGCAAGATTCTCATCTTATCTGTGTGGGTGAGTTAATGATACATTTGTGAATTCGTATTGAAGCGACGATAAAAAAAAGAGATCTGAAAGAACGTACACTGCTCGTGTCAGACGACTGTGTCAGAGATAGACCTACGTCAACAACAAAACGATGTTCTGCTGCAGTGCAACCGATCAAACGACATTAACAGAAAAGTGATATTTACGTAATTCCACTCTTTAAAATTTCTTGTCTGCATATTGCTTTGATTTATCTGTATATAAAATATTAATGAAGAAAAAAATATTTGTAAAATATTTTTTTTATAATGTGGGGCTTTGCAGCAGATTTTTTTTAATGCAAGACAAGGTAATTTCAAGTAAGAGTTGTCTTTCTTTGCATGTAGTTCACATTAATGCTAATCACTTTCGGAAACAGTACCAGTCATGTGCACTTATCTCCCTTCTTGAATTAGGTGGTAAGATTTTAACGCAGGGTCCGATAAGACAGCACGGACTTAACGAAAACTTAAATGTATCTTTCCACATATCTACAAGTTTCTAAAACAACTATCAAACGGCGGGAATTAAGATAAATGCGTCGAGTGTGCGATACTGTGATATTTTCGATAAACATTAGATACGGATCTGTAATGGCTGTCGGAGAGCCTCCTCGGCGTGCGGCACTGTTCCCCATACATTAATTAGAAGAGTTTTTGTATCACAGCTGTGTCCGTCAATCTCAAATCAAATCAATCTTTTCATATATATTATAAATTTTTCTCAAATTTCTCAATGAAATATACTTGAAGGAATTTTTATTCCAGTTATTTCCATAAAATATTATACCCCATGCATTCAATGATGTTTTCCAGTGCTAACACTAAGGGTTATTTTTTTGACATGGAGATTATCTGTTGCTATGATAATAAAAAAGAATATTCTCCTTGATATCTAATGGAGTCGGTAATAACATTTTATAGAGGATGTCGCGACATGCACGCTGTAATGAGCCGCTTGATACAGTAGTGTTTCGGAAAAGCCATAATCTTCTGCCGGAATCCACTTGCCTGACTAATATACCCATTCTAGTGATAATACAAACGTTTTATCGTATTGTTGACAAGAGGCATTATAACATGCGCTTGAATATAGAGAGGTTCCGGATAAAAATTATCAATTTTGTATCTTATGTGTCTTAGTTTATTCCCCTTTATCTTTCTCTCGAATTACCTCTGTTCCCTCTAATCTCAAATTTGCCGATAAACCAAGCTTATTACACAGAGTTTCAGTCTACCTACACCATTTGCACCCAATGTTTACTTCAATGAAATATATTTAATGTGTTTTAATGTTGAAATTACCTTATTTTCTCCTTAGGAATAAAAACGTTCTTCTTTCGGAGCATGAGGCATATCGTAAGTATTCTAATCTAAGTACAAGTAGTCTTCAGTATGATTATCAAAATGAATTCTGCTGTGTTAAGCTAGTGGATTTGACATTGAAATTATTATGTACATGTTAAAACCATGTGGGTAAAAAAAATTTTCATGTTTTTGTTTCAACGAACTCACAAACAGGGTGCATGTCTTTTCAATGTCGATACAGGAGCAACCCCGATAAACCGTAACTAACTGTAAAGCTGTTACCGGCCGGTTGTATTGTGATTTGGATTTTTTTCTTTGGATGGTGTTAATACACCCACGTTAAAATTTGATAGCAGGATTGGATTTTTTTTCCCTCAAATGTTCGCCAGAATAACATCAGCATCAGTAGTGAAAAACCTACTGTAAACGTTCTAAAAAATACAAGGTTCTCTCTGGAGATTTTTAATAAACTTATTATTCAAATCTAGAATTTTTTTCTCGTTGAAATCTCAAAATATTTACCAAAAAAAAAAAAAAAAAAAAAAAAAAAAAAAAAAAAGAAAGAAAGAGTCTTAACACAAGAAATTGTTTTCATGTTTTAACCGGTGACACATGCATTGTACTGAGATATTTTACTTGAGTATGATTACTTTGGCCTCTCTTTCTTGCATATCTAATGCAAGTACAAATAAATAAAAATATTCATAAACAATGCAAGTTCCATATGCAAATATATAAGTCATAGATTTATAAATATATTCAAATATTATTTTTCAGCGAATAGACGAGGATGTATACAATTCCTAGTCAACTATTTTAGGGAATCATGAGATTTTGTTCAACAGAATTATGTCTATATTCCGATTTAGGCAACAGGAACTGAACCAGATCGCAAGGTCACCTGCTTCTAGTCTGCTTGTCCAAATCTGAATTAGAAGTGTAAATACAACTTTACTTTATGAAGAAAATCAGAACTTCTTATCGGCGTGTCAACCGCCGGCCTGTTATAACTAGTGTTTTTCCGCCACATAAACCATTGTCTGGTCTCTTCGAACACTCCCCCCATTAACCAACTTAATAATAAGTTGTAAAATTTCCTTGAACCACTGGTACGGTTATTTTGTTTTCTTAGGTAATTTTCAATTTGTCTATGATCGCCGATAGATTATGCCAAGGCATTATAAACGAGACGAATAACGCGTGCCGAAATTGCTCCCCAATCAATTATGCATGCAACTTTTGTATTAGCATATTTATAACTTTTTATTATGAAACTTACATAGAATTTATGTGGCAAGCATAGGTTTGAAACTTGGATTTTTATTTTTCCAATTAATTAAGTGCTAGAAAAAAGCTAGAAAACAATTTTAAGGGAACCCTTTAAATGAAAAATAAAGCTTAAATATGAAGATCGATTTTTTTCTCTCCAAACGTTGCAAATGAAATTTATATTTAAGAATATGTTCACTATGATTCATTTACATATATTCTATGATGGAATAAATTGTTCATTTCCTTACAGAATTATAAATGATAAAATTGAAATTAAAAATATTTATTAGAAGATGTAATAAACAACGAAAAATGAATAAGTAACGTACTAGCATCCTATATTCAGACACTGAAATGTAAATAAATGCATGTTTTATAAAATACATGTATAAAGTCAATTAACTTTTCTTTTTTCACCTCAAAATTTTAGAAAACTAAATAAATTTAAGACTTCCAATCATAAGACTTTTCAAAGCACATAGTGATATAAATAGAGGATGTTCAATGTTTTGTAGATGAATATGGAATTTATTTCACGAGTGGGACAGGATTTTTTGATATTTTCACGAGTGCGAAGCACGAGTGAAAATATCAAAAAATCCTGTCTCACGAGTGAAATAAATTCCATATTCATCTACAAAACATTGAATTTTCTGTTTATTACATTTTCTTTGATTTTTCCTTTGCCTCTGTTATTTCTTAACACAGTGTCTTAGGCCCGACGTCATAGTTGAGCGGTTGAGACGTCATAGCTTATAAGTTGTGTGTCAGATTGAAAACATTATGTACATAGCATGGATTTCAGCAACATATTTAGGAAGAAATTTGCAGTTTTAGCTCTATCAAGATGCTTAGTTACTATCTATATCTTATGACAGGCCAGAAATTATTTTTTTTACTTACTTTGATATCCTTTCACACTGTGAGAGAATAGCATTTTTGGTATCCTTTCACACTGTGAGAGAATAGCATTTTTGGTATCCTTTCACACTGTGAGAGAATATCACTTTTATTCAATGAATAAATCACAGTATTTCACTGTTGAAAATGTAATAATAACATTTATTTATATATTTATTTTGAATAAGATAAACAGTAATATATTGTAGATGTAAGTGGGAAGATAAACCGTAAAAACCAGAGGAAAATGAGAATCACCTGACAATTATCAATATTTGTCTAGCAGATAACATTACAATTGTAGGTACTGATAAATAGCTACCTATTTAGTGGAACATGTACAACATTGATATTAATCATGGCGAGGGGTTATTAACATCCTTTGTTAGTTTAATACAGAATTTTCACAGCAACTACGAAAACTTAACTAAATTTAGATCTAAGATAATAAGAGGAAATGCTATTCACAACAATCTCTCAGAAAATTATTGTGTCATTTTAAAAATATAAATACAATGTAAATAAATATAGATAATGCAATTTTAAAACACTTTCTTTCTCCATATAAAAAAAAAATCATAAATACATGTACTAGTACACTAAAGTTATCCACATCTAGTTGTTAAAATTTTCAAATTCAGAAACAGTTCTTTCTTTTTTTTCTTTAAAGAAGAAAATAGGAGGATAAACATTTCATATTTCTTTGCAGCTAAGGTTGAAGTATACTAGTATTTCAACACAATCTTTTTTTTTTGGCTATTATATACATTACTGATATATCAAATCCTACGAACATAACATGTTATATTTCCATTGAGAAAAATATATTAGTGAAAGCAGTAGAAAAACATTTGAATTTTTTTTCCCGTATTTGATATGCCTGGTGTTTGAATGGTCGAAAAAAACACCCCACCCCACCCTGTATACAAAAATTTTGCCCCCTCCAAAAAGGCAAATTAAAAAAAAAAAATAAAAAAGGAAGAAGAAGAAGAAATAAACAACAATAAACAAAAGCTTAAAAAAGTCAATTGACAATTAATGAACTTTGTTTGGGATGATTGCATTTAATGAATAATTTAGGTGTTGATATCGAAGTGAAAGAAATTATCTATTGAATCTGAGCATATCACTGATCCTTATTTAAATCAGGGTGTTTGAATAAGGTTTCGAATCTTCTTTGTTTGAATGTTATGGAGGACATATTTATAATACATAAGTTCATAATTCATTTAATTTTCAATGTTTCTATACATGTATTTATCAAGCACAAAAGTTATCAGTAGTTTGCATAATTTAGGTTCGATGATAATCAAGCAATGTATTTATTTTACACGTCAGAAAATGCCCTTTTGGAATTTTGAGAAAAAATGTTAGTATTAATTAAAAGGTAGTCTTGAATTTTATGTAGTTATAGTTGGTTCACATTCGGTTACCACAGCTATCAATGATTGTATTTTTAGATTTTAGGAATACATTGTTTTTTTTTCAGACAATGCAAAGGCTCACATTTGTTTTGCAAATTTTATAAATTGAAGTTACCACAAAGCACAAATAAGAGAAACCTAGCTGTCATTTAGAACGATATTCAACGTATAAAATAGGGTTATTAGCTTTATAATAAAACACAATTATTCTCCTTCTTTATTTAAAAATTATGTTCAACTCTTGCCAATTATTATGATGTAGATGATAGACATTCTCATCATGTATTTTTAAGATGAGAAAATCTTAACAGCATTAAGAACGTTCCGTCTACTTCCCTCAAAGTACTTTTAAAATGCTACCGTAAATCTTTGTCGTAACAAGCACCTTGTGTGGGGTAGCTAGTGGAAAAACTGGCTTTTTATTGCGTGCATGTTATATTCTCAAAAGTTTTCTCAGGAACGCTAACCAAACGTGTCATTATTTAATTGGAAAACTTTTCACAACCCTTGTAAAAATTAGTTTTCTTGATCCTCAGAAAGTGAAAACATGTGCTGGTACAACAGAATACACCAAGTTTTGGAAGATTATCCATTAATTAAAATTTCATCTGTCTAGTTTTATAAATCGTCATATTGTAGTTACACATGCCAGAACATGGTAACACAGAGCGGTTCCCAGGGGAAAGGTTTCATGAGCTCTAGGACAAATTAGTGCCCGCGTTAATAAACTAACATTGACGTTTAATTGTCGTTTAAATTACAGGGAGGTCGGTGATGCTGATTTCATTTGTAGTTTTATTTTCTTTTATAATGAACTTTCATGGTTTATGGGTGACACTTATATACAGACTGGTGGCAAGGGTAAAATACGGGGCAACGAGAAGGAGATTGAAATAAACACGCACAGTCCATAACCGAAATTCCTTCTAATTAGTCCACATGACCGAAATCCAATTATAAAGCGCGTAAAAGTCACGGCAACTGATTTTTATTTCAACGTGGCAGTTAAACGTTTGAAAAAAGAAGTGTCGAAATTTACCAGAGAGAACACTTTTCATTAACAGAGGATCGGAGTATCAGAATGCTTGCAATGCATGTATTTTAAATTCGATTCTTTGAATTGACAAACCTTGTTTTAAAAAATTAAAATGTTAACAGCATTAAGATAAAATTTAATAAATTTAGTATACGCCTAATCCTCTATATTGAATTAGATTTGGTATATTCCCAGAATACAAGCATCAGTTTGAAGACAGAGTTCTTTCCCCTCGTATGCCGGTTTTTCGTGAACAGAGAAGAGGACCCCCTGGAAAGAAGATGCGTCAATTATGTCTGATGTTGATTAGCTATTTGGTAGTTTATTTTGGCGTTCACGCCTCAAACGCCCTGCACCACATGACGTCGTCAAAACGCTTCGCTATGAGCAATTGTTTCAAAGGGGAAAGACATGCCGTG